CTATCACTGTAGTAGCGGCTACTACTACATAGATTTTCAGCTTGCACAGGGATCAGTCAGGTATGAGATATGCATTCTTATGTACGTCCAAACTAGACCAATTATAATATATATTTAAAGGCAAATATGTTTTTTCTCCCATTTTAGATCAAGTAGTTAGGGTTAAAAGATGTTTTAAATATTTATTTATTTTTACTATCTATGCTTAAAGTGTTACTAAACCCACAACAGTAAAATTAGTCTGTATATGCAGTAAAGCATGCTTGTTACTTTGGAACCTAAGGGGTTAATCCTTTGCATTATTTAAAAATGCTGTTTGATGCTGACTTCTCCGGTCCTCCCCTTCTTTCAGTCTCCCTCTTATCTCCTGGTAAGACATATCATGCGGGGACACTCTGCACATGCTCAGTTTAGTGTGTATTGCTAGAGAGTTTTTTTTTTTTTTTTTTTTTTTTTTTCCTTGGGAGAATGCATTTTATCAGCACAGGGTCATTCAGCACTGCCCAGACAGAGCTCAGGGGTTTTGCATCATCCTAGAGCAGAAAGAAAATTCCTCCTGCAAGCTTTAACTAGTGCCCTGCTGAACACTGATAGAAGTCACAAGACTGCTCTAACTGCTGATGAGAAAAGGTATTTAGCAGTTCATATTTACTAAAATAGTTGCATTTCCATGTAGTGTGTACTGTGGCAGACCAGATATAGTGAATGCAGGGTCCTGGGTTTAGTAACACTTTAATTACAAAGATTTCCCTTCATTTCCTGTCTTGTGGACTCAGCAGGAAGTGAGAAGATACAACGATCCACCATAACTTTATGATGCACCCACCTAATATTCAGTAGATCTCCCTTTTGCTGCCAAAACAGCTCTGACCGGGACTCCACTCGACCTCTGAAGGTACGCTGTGGTTTATGGCTGCAATATGTAAATAGCAGATCCTGTAAGTTGTGAGGTGGAACCTTCATGTATCGGACTTTTTTTCCAGTACATCTCACAGATTGAGATCTGTAGAATTTGAAGGCCAAGTCAACACCTTGAGCTTGCTATTGTGTTCCTGAAACTGCCATCAGGGAACACAGTTTCCAGCAACAATGTTTAGGTAGGGGCTATGTGTCATCTACATAAATGGCAGGTCCCAAGGTTTCCCAGCAGAACATTGCCCAAAGCAGTACAGCCTCTGCTGGCTTGCCTTCTTCTTGTACTGCATCCTGGTGCCATCTCTTCCCCAGGTAAGCAACACACATTCAGCAATCCATGTGATATAAAAGAAAATGTGATTCTTCAGACCAGGCCACCTTCTTCCATTTCTCTGTGGTCCAGCTCTCATGCTCACATGCCCATTAGCTATGGACATGGGTCAGCATGGGCACTCTGACTGATCTATAGCTGCCAAGCCCCAAACACAACAAACTGTGATGCCCATTTGTTCTGCTTTCAACACATCAAATTCAAGGACAAAATGTTTACATGTTGCCTAATACATACCACTCTCTTTCAGATGTCATTGTAATCAGATAATCAATCACGTCATCTGTTAGTGGCCATAAAGTTATGGCTGATCAGTGTATCTTTCCGATATGAGGGCTATCCCATTTTATTCAGCTGTCAGGTGGACAAGTGTCCCCATTGGAAGATTTCCCCTCTATTCCTGTTTTTAGTGACAGCACAAAATTTTAGATTCACCCTCACTTTTATTCCTAGTGACATTGGGGATCAGGACAACCTAGATTGTAAGCTCCAACGAGCAGGGCCCTCTGTTTCCTCTTGTACCAAATTGTATTGTAACTGTAATGTCTACCTTCATTTTGTAAAGTGCTGAGCAAACTGTTGGCGCTATATAAATCCTGTATAATAATAATTAAAATTAATCTCCCCAACACGAATACAGACATTAAAAATGTAACAATTGTAACCTGTCACCACTCTATCCAAATCCTAAAAACAAAAAATGCTTTTAGTTATACTTTAAACACTTCAGCTCCAGCAACATACCCATATGTCACTGGAGTCTGAACGTTCTACCAGGATGATGCAGGCATCATTCCGGTACTGTTTTATGTAGAGCTGACTCAATTGCTACTACAAGCAGTGAGAGGGGACTCCACTGACAACCCCTGTCTTTAATGAGAATCTCCCTTCCCACCGGGAGTGCCAATCGACCAGCTGGCGCTACCACTACCGGTTGGTCACAGGGCCGAACAAAGACTGGATCAGCTGTTTGGCTCTGTTTATATAGTAACCCGGATGCGATGACCTGACATCACTCCTGGTTTACGTGCAAATACACTGTGCCATTTTAAAAAAAAGAAAAGCATTCAATCACACTGATCTTGGTGTGATTAAATGCTTTTAAAGGCAGAGGGGAGTGATTTGGAGTCTTATTGACCCAAAATACCTCCATAAAGAGTGCCTGTCACATGCCTACTGCTGTCACAAGGGATATCTGCATTCCTTTTGACAGCAATAAAAGTGATTTAAAAAAAAAGTAATAAATAAAAGTATCTCCATGCTCGTGCGCGAAGGCGTGCACGCAAATATTGCCTCTGGATAGTAAAATGTATGTCGTTTGTTGCTGTTGCACGGGCGTGCACAGTTTTATAGCGTGACATGTTTGGTATCTAGTTACTCAGAGTAACATCCTCTTTTTATATTTTATAAAAAAATAGGTTATGTGTTGTGTGTTTTTGCTTTAAAATTCAAATATTTTTTTTTTCCCCAAAAAATTGCATTTGAAAAACTACTGTTCAAATACCGTGTGACATAAAAATTAGCAATTTATTCTCTAGAGCCTCTGCGTTAAAAATAAATAATGTTTGAGGGTTTTAAGACATTTTCTAGTAAAAAATACTGATTGTAACATGTAAACTAAAATTGCCAGAAAAGTCTTAAATTGGTTAGCAATAGCAAACACTGGGGTGCCGTGAAAGTCCCTGATATCATTTGCAGAGGTTTTCAAAATTGCCTAAAATCTTCATTGTGATACATAAAGCAGAATGGTGTCTTGGGAACATATGAAGTTAGATCTAATGGTCCTTGACTGGAAGAATGGACCGATACCAGACATCTTATTGCATTTGTCAGCTTGTTGCCCTTTCTGTTTTGTGTGTGTTTATAATATACATTCTCTGCTGTTCTATTTGTTGTATGCAATTTATTAGGGTAAACATACAAACTTGATTCTAGTGAGAAGATTGTAGGATCTCATTGTAAATACCCTCTGGTGACATCTTGTCTTGGAAGACCAATAGTGAAGTCCAGAAATGACTAAAGGCTTAAAAAATAAATAAAATTTTTTTTTTTTTTTTTTTTAGACAAAAACATTCCCTTCTGGGTGATCTATGTACATTGCAAAGATTTCTAACAAACTTTGATGCAGAATCCTACCTTTTGTTCTGAAGAAAGAGCTGTTAGTTTGTGTGGAAAGTGAATCTAATAGGAGTGATTTCATAATTATCAGTCAGCTCCTGTACTTGTAGGGTTCTAATGAGGAAAATTGCAGGGTCTGCATCCCTTTAGATGTAATTACATATCGGCAGTATCTCACCAAAAATGAAATTTTTGTTGCAGGGGATGTCTGAAATCTGATTTGTATCTTAGTGCAGAGTCACAAGCAGGAAATTATGTTTCTGCGGGACATTATGTACGCATTCTGTATACAGAACACCTCCAGGTAGCATTTTACAGAAAATTACAGAGCTGGAGATTGAAAAGGAAAGGTCATTTTTAGTAACAATTTCAATATTACTTGTCACAATTGTATATGCTATTTTTTTCCCCCACGAAAGTGGAGTTACACTTTAAGCTGAGCATACCACTAGTTCATTCTTGAACAAACATAAACATTTGCTTCCTTTTTTGCCACATTGTTAATGTATATGGTCAGAGTAGAATGGGGAAACATCATCAATATCCTGTGGTGTCACTGTAACCATATTAACCACTCCAGATTATCTGGTGGTATATCAAGCATTTTTTTTCATTCATGCGCACGCACGCGCGCACACACACACCCCAAGCATTTATCATTCATGCACTCTCTCACACACACACACACACACCCCAAGCATTTATCATTCATGCACTCACACACACCCCCAAGCATTTATCATTCATGCACTCTCACACACACACACACACACACACACACACACACACACACACACACACACACCCCCCCCAAGCATTTATCATTCATGCACTCACACACACACACACACACACACCCCAAGCATTTATCATTCATGCACTCACACACACACACCCCAAGCATTTATCATTCATGCACTCACACACACACACATATATATATATATATATATTTTTATAAAACACACATACAGTGCTCAGCATACGTGAGTACACCCCAACAGATTTGTCAGAAAACCTTTACTTTCAGAACAATGTTTTCTATGGAACACTATACTACAAACTACTCCCACAAAAGTATTTTTCCTAACAAATTCATTCAAGACCATGTTGCAAAAATGAATACACTCCAATGACAGTCTTAGGAGCAAAGCTACATTTTAGACAACAAATTCCTAATTAACAAGAATTCAACTACAGCTGAGTCTAATTATTCATTAATCACTTACCCTCCAGAGGATTTACCCCCCCTTCCTGACCAGGCTTTTTTTTGCGTTACGGCACTGCATTACTTTCACTGACAATTGCACGGTCATGCAACGCTGCACCCAAATGAAAGTTATAGCCTTTCTTTCCCACAAATAGAGATTTCTTTTGGTGGCATTTGATTGCCTCTACTTTATTTTTTGCGCTATAAACAAAAAAGACCGACAATTTTGAGAGAAAAAAAGAATATTTTTTACTTTTTGCTATTAAACATGTCCGAAAAAATTTTAGAAATCAAATTTCATCATAAATTTAGGGCAAAATGTATTCTGCTACATGTTTACGTGAAAGTTGTAGCATTTACAAATGGTGGTATGTAAACTGGAATTTTTATTTTATTTTTTACTAGTAATGGCGGCGATCAGCGACTTATAGCAGGAATGCGGCAGGCATTCTGACACTGGGGGGGGGACTGACTTGGTGTCACTGACATCCCCAGTGACACCAATATAGTGATAAGTGCTAATAAAAAGCACTGACACTGTACTAATGACACTGGGCAGGAAGGGGTTAACATGGGTGATTAAAAGGTTAACTGTGTGTGTTTTACATTGTGTGCTCTGTGTGTGCTATGCAGAGCCATACAAAGCAGTGTGCAGGAGCTGACAGGGGAGAGAACTGTGTTGTTTACATGCAGTTCTCTCCCCCATCGGTAATACTCAGCAAGAATCACCAGCCAGGACCCGGTGATTGACAGCTGAGGCCGCGAATGGCGGTGAGGGTAGGGTTTGCACGCACCCCCTACCCGGAAATGCAAAATCACGTAAATGCAAATGCAATATACGTGATTTTGCACACCCCTGCCGCCTTGTAGCAGTATTTCTTCTATAAGGCAGTGGGAAAGCAGTTAAACAGGTGTCCAGCAGACAGTTGATTATATAAGGACATTATCAGTCAGAATACTGTAGCAAAAGTGATACAAAAATTTAGCAAAGATGGAACTGCAACCATTTCACAGAGACATCCAGGCCGTCCACATATGTTAACACCTTGTCAGGAGCGTCTTCTGATGAGAAGGGTTGAAATTGCCATGCAAGTTCACTGCTGTTAACTAAAGAAATAGAAAGCCAAACTGGGGTGATTTTCTCGTGACACAATACGGCGTACACTGTGGAGGAATGGCATGCATGGGTGTCATCCACGAAAGAAGCCTCTCCTAAAGCCCATGCACAAAAAAGCCTGCCTAGAATTTGCCAGGGCCCATGTTGAAAAAGGAGACTACTGGGACTCTGTACTCTGGAGTGATGAAACCAAGATAAATGATTTTAGAACTGATGGCTTCAAAACTGTATGACGTCGCAAAGATGAGGAGTACAAAGGCTCTAAAAGAGATCATTGTTGAAGAATGGATAAAGATAGATGTTGCAGTATGTCGGCAAAAATGACCGAAAACTTGGTGCTGTCTTTACAAAGATGTAATAGTTTTTTTGTTGTGGGGTGTATTCATTTTTGCATCAACTTATTTGAGTAAAACTGAAGATTTTGTAATCTATATTAGTAACCTTACTTTCATGTAATGAGTTAAACAAATGTTCTATAAAATTAAGTTTTGTCAAAATTTTTCTCAAATTGTTCATTGAAATATTGATTAAAATCTTACTTTTCAAAAGGGGTGTACTCATTTATGCTGAGCTGTGTGTGTATAATATATCTCACAGTTATAGTTAAAGTGGTTCTAAAGGCTCAAGGTTTTTTACCTTCATGCATTTTATGCATGAAGGTAAAAAAACCTGTGTGCAGCAGCCCCCCCACCCCCATCCTTACCTGAGCCCCCCCGATTCAGTGATGTTCCCGCCTCCCTCTGCTCTCAATCACAGCCAGTGGGGGGGAGTAGCCTTCCATGGGGGCACTGCTTGAGGGAGAGGATCAAGGAGCGTCAAAGGGGACACAAAAAAAAAGAGAATTGGGGCTGCTCTGTGCAAAATCACTGCACAGGGCAGGTACATATAGACACAAGCTTTAGTGTTATGTTTAATGTAATCTTACACAACTCCTAATGTTTAGTTGCAAATGAAGAAAACGTTTAATCCATTGGCATTTCTCCCAATTTGCTATTTAGAGGGACAAAAATCTTTCTTACCTCACTAGGGCATTCAGATCATTTTTTTTTGGATTAAAATATCACCACTTTTGGGGGGGGTGAAGATTATTTTTAATAATATTTAGTTTCCGTCATAAAATTCAATAAATATTTTGCCAATAATGTGACACAAAAATTGCTTAACTATTCTACTGTACTGTGCAAAAGTTTCATGCAGGTGTAAAGAAATGCTGTAATGTAAGAATGCTTTCAAAAATATACACTCACTGGGCACTTTATTAGGTATACTCACCAACCACTTTATTAGGTACACCTGTTCAATTGCTTGGTAACACAAATTTCTAAGCAGCCAATCACATGGCAGCAACTCATATAGGGAAGACGTGGTGAAGACAACTTGAAGTTCAAAGTGAGCATCTGAATAGGGAAGAAGGGGGATTTAAGTGACTTTGAACGTGGCATGGTTGTTTGTACCAGACAGTCTGGTCTGAGTATTTCAAAAACTACTGATGTACTGGGATTTTCAAGCACAACTATCTCTAGGGTTTACAGAGAATGGTCTGAAAAAGAGAAAATATCCAGTAAGCGTCAGCTGTTTGGATGAAAATGCTTTGTTAATGTCAGAGGAAAATGGGTAGACTGGTTTCTGCTACATTCAGATGGTAGAGTCAGAATTTGGCATAAACCATATAAAAAAATTGATCCATCCTGCCTTGGTATCAACGTGTGGAGGTGGTGTAATGGGGGATATTTTGTTGACACCAGCAAAGTATACCTAATAAAGAGGTTTTAAGATGTTCTGTTCAAGCTCTTTTGAAGAATCAAAAAGAAACTGGCAGTATTGAGGACCGTACACTCAGTGGTCAGCCAAGAAAGCTTAATGCAGCAAATGAGACACCTCATGCTTACTTGCCTTCAACATTGGAAAATGTCAAGCAGTGCCATCAGCACAAAATTGGCAGAAACCTGTGGGACCTAGGTACACCCATCTACTGTCTGGAGAAGTCTAGCCAGAAATGGTCTTCATGGAAGAATTGTGACCAAAAAGCGGTACATCTTGTTGCTGAAACAAGGTTATAGCCACTGGCAATAATCACATGAAAAATCCAACAAGATGGTTCTACAACAATCGAATTGGGTACAATCAGCCTGCCTATAGATGGTTTTAATCTCGGCTAGTCCCTGCTGAGCCAGTCGCGTTTTGAACCCTCTATGGCTGGCTTTAGTGACTCAACTTTACACAAAAACATAGCAACTGGGGTGCTGAAAAATGGGAGCAGGTGCTCTGGACTGATGAGTCAAATTTTGAAATATTTGGCTGTAGCAGAGGACAGCTTGTTCGCCAAAGGGCTGGAGAATAATATAATAATGAGTGTCTGCAAGCAACAGTGAAGCATGGTGAAGGTTCCTTGCAAGTTTGGGGCTGCATTCTGCAAATGTGTTTGGGAGATTTAGCCAGGATCAGTGGTGTACTTTATCCTGGGAAATACAGTTTGCAGCAGGACAACAACTCCAAGCATACAGCCAATCTCATTAAGAACGATTTTCAGCGTAAAGAACAAGGAGTTCTGAAAGGAATGGTTTGGCCCCCACAGAGCCCTGATCTCAACATCATTGAGTCTGTCTGGGATGACATGAGACAAATGAATCTAAGGCAGCCTACATCTGCAGAACATCTGTGGTTAGTTCTCTGAGATGTTTACCTAGGGGACAAAAGGTGGTCACACCAAATATTTATTTGATTTGGGTTTCTCTTCAGTGCATTTACTTACCATTTATTTAATTGATAAAAATAAACTATGAACACTTCTATTTATGAAAGCATTCTTCATTTACAGTATTTTTTTCCACACTTGCCTAAAACGTTTGAACAGTATAGTGTGTGTGTGTGAAATCTCTCTCTCTCTCTCTCTCTCTCTCTCTCTCTCTCTCTCTCTATACAGTGGGGATCGAAAGTTTGGGCACCCCAGCTAAAAATTTGTATTAATCTGTATAAAGAAGCCAAGGAAAGATGGAAAAGTCTCCAAAAGGCATCAAATTACAGATTAGACATTCTTATAATATGTCAACAAAAGTTAGATTTTATTTCTATCATTTACACTTTCAAAATAACAGAAAACAAAAAAATGGTGTCTGCAAAAGTTTGGGCACCCTGCAGAGTTAATATCTTGTACTGCCCCCTTTGGCAAGTATCACAGCTTGTTATACACTTTTTGTAGCCAGCCAAGAGTCTTTCAATTCTTGTTTGAGGTATCTGCCCATTCTTCCTTACAAAAGTCTTCCAGTTCTTTTAGATTTCTGGGATGTCTGTCACACACTGCTCTTTTAAGGTCTATCCATAGATTTTCAATTATGTTGAGGTCAGGAGATTGTGAAGGCCATGGCAAAACCTTCAGTTTACGCCTCTTGATGTTATCCCCCGTGGATTTCAAGGTGTGTTTAGGATCATTATCCATTTGTAGAAACCATCCTCTCTTTAACTTCAGCTTTTTCACAGATGGCATCAAGTTACCATCCAAAATTTGCTGAAATTTTATTGAATCCATTTTTCCTTCTACTCGTGAGATGTTCCCTGTGCCACTGGCTGCAACACAACCCCAAAGCATGATTGATCCAACCCAATGCTTAACAGTTGGGCAGAGGTTCTTTTCATTAAATTCTGTGCCCCTTCTTCTCCAAACATACCTTTGCTCATTCTGGCCAAAAAGTTCAATTTTAACCTCATCGGTCCACAGAACTTGTTTCCAAAATGCATCAGGCTTGTCTATATGTTCATTTGCAAAGTTCAAACGATGATTTTTGTGGTGAGGACATAGAAGAGGTTTTCTTCTGATGACTCTTCCATGAAGACCATATTTGTACAAGTATCTCTTTATAGTGGAATAGTGTACCACAACTCCAGTGTCTGCCAGATCTTTCTGGAGGGATCGTGCAGTCAAACGAGGGTTTTGAATTGTTTTTCTCACAATCCTGCGAGCTGTTCTGTCTGATATTTTTCTTGGTCTTCCAGATCTTGCTTTAACTTCCATGTTCCTGATGACTGCCATTTCTTAATTACATTCCGAACAGAGGATATTGACATCTGAAAACGCTTTGCTATCTTCTTATAGCCTTCTCCAGCTTTGTGAGCGTCAACTATTTTCAGTTTTCTAGACAACTGCTTAGAAGAACCCATGGTGCTGATTGTTGGGGCAAGGTCAGATGAGTCTGGGCATTTAAAACCTTTGAGATTGACATCACCTGGTCTTCCCAGACGATGATTGAGAACAATCCATGACACTGGCAGGTCTCAGCCTGGCAAAGGGGGCAGTGCATGCTATAAATTCTGCAGGGTGCCCAAACTTTTGCAGATGCCATTTTTTAGTTTTCTGTTATTTTGAAAGTGTAAATGATAGAAATAAAATCTAACTTTTGTTGACATATTATAAGAATGTCTAATCTGTAATTTGATGCCTTTTGAAGATCTTTCCTTGGCTTCTTTATGCACATTAATACATATTTTTAGCTGGGGTGCCCAAACTTTCGATCCCCACTGTATATATATATATATATATATATATATATTCTCATTCATTGTACAGATATAGTAGGTGGCGCAATCATGTTGGCCATAGGTAGCACTTATGAATGGCATTTGCTTTTTGTAAGTAACATATTTATTATATGTGGCATCGCCTTTTACCACAGTACATTTTATACCTGTGTGTGAATGCTAATCTAG